AAAAGAAAAAACTTTATTTTTTTCTCTTTACGATAAATTAAAACAGATTTTTACAGTAAAGCTCAGCCGCAAAATAAACATAAACAATAAACTTTTCATTCCTCTTTTTGACAATAAACTCAAACAGATTTTAAAAAAATCAGCCGTAAAATAAAAACAAAAAAAAAAAAGAAAATCGCTAAGTCCTTGGTTGTTATTACGTGAACCTTTATCCTTGAGGTTTCAACACCATCATCTTCCTGCTTTTAAGATCCGAGGTTCAACTTTCCATACTGATAGATGGGGAGAGAGACAGGCGGATAGATGGATAGACGAATAGATAAATAGATGGATGAATAGATACAATGATATACAGATAGATAGACAGATAGAGACGATATTTAGATTGATGGATAGACAGATATGAAAAATTGAGACAAAGATAGAGACAGAAATAGATAGATTGATAAAGAGATACAGACAATGAAAGATAAATAGATTAAAAGGCATAGATAAATAGACAGAGAGATTAAAAAATAGAGATAGAGATGAACAGATAGATAAATTGATAAATAGACAGACACACAGAGAGGAGGAGAGAAAATTAAACTGACATACACCTAGACACCCAGACATCATTTAGACATCCAGACACCCAGACAGACAGACAGAGAAGCAACAGCTGACTCGGCCGCTTCACAGGGTCGCGTGATGAGCACCAGAGGTTTCGGCGAAGAGTCAGACGCATCATTCCATTTAGTGATGAGGAGAGAGAAGGAAGGTTGTAGCCCACCTCTGCACTCACGCGTGTTGCTCCGGACTATGAACATGTATTCTCGTGTTTAATATTCTCGTTTATGTTTTTTTTTCAATTATGTATGTATGATATGATGATGGTGATTATGTTTTTTTTAATTATGTATGTATTTATAATGATGATGATGGTGATGATGGTGTTGTTGTTGTTGTTGTTGTTTTGTTGTTGTGTTGGTGGTGGTGATGATGATGGTGATGATAATGGTGATGATGATGATGATGATGATGATAATGCTAAGAATGGTAATAACAACATTAATAATAATTATAATGATAATAATTGCAGTCATTATCATTATCATCGCAATCATTCCTATAATAATAATAATCATGAAAATAATAATAATAATAGTAATAATAATGATTATCAATATTAACACTATTAGTATCATCATTATCATTACCACCATTACTACCAAAGATTACTACCAATCATGATTACTCTCATTATCACTAATTTTCACAGCCACACGCACGAACACATTCTCTTTAAACACGAGGCTAATTACGATGGTGCAGGAATTCAAAGGAGTAAAAAGGAGATAACCTTACGTAATGGTGCAAAGCGAAATGGATACAGATTGCAAGAATAGCAACAGCAACGGATTGGGCGAGCATGTCACTTCCGGGAACAAGTGTCTTTGCCGTTGAGTTGGCCTATATATATCATCGGCATCATCCCTCTTTCTCTACCTTTCTTTCTTTCTGTTTCGTTTTATCTTTTAGTTCTGTCTCTGTTGTGTGTGTGTCTCTGTCCTTCTCTGTCTCTTCTCTCTCTGTCTCTGTCTGTCTCTCTCTCTCTCTCTCTCTCTCTCTCTCTCTCTCTCTCTCTCTCTCTCTCTCTCTCTCTCTCTCTCTCTCTCTCTCTCTCTCTCTCTCTCTCTCTCTCTCTCTCTCTCTCTCGCCTACCCTTCACTCTCTATCTTCTCCTCCTTCGCCTATCCTAATCTGTCAATTAATTTCTATCTCTCTCTCTCTCTTCCCCTTTCCTCTTCGCATCCGAGATAACAATAAAAACATAAGTGAATAATGAAATAAATAAATCCTCATCATCAGACAATGAGTGACTCAACGTTCCAACAAGATCTGAGAACACGCTTGGCCATTTTATACGTAGTCGGACACCAAAGAAAACGGGAATCGAAAGATGCGGAGATAATATGGGGAAAAAGAAGAGGTAAAAAGAGATTGAAGTAGAGTGAAAAAGGGAGAAAAGAAGGAGAAAATAAGAGGATATGAGAAAAAAAAGGAATAAAAGGATAAAGGAAAAGGGGTGGATAAGGAAATGATAAAGCATATAGGATAATTATAAGAGGGCGGGGACGCTTACCAGGAATCGCTGTCATACGCTCTTTTGATTTCTTTGTTTATTTTTTATTCTCCGTCTTTATTCCTCTTTCTGTTTTTAGTTTTTTCGTCGATCTCCTTCTCTCTTATCCTCATACCACCCACATCTATTTCTTCTTGCTATTTATTCTTTTCATTCAAAATACCAGATAAACATTTTAAGCAAGTTATCCCACTACCAGTCGAAGCGAATTATGCTAACTTGGCCCAGGAATCTCAACTATTTCTACATCTTTCTTTTGGAGTATTTGCAATAAATTTGAAGAACGCCATTAACTGCAAATTACGAACGCACTAAGAAGCTAAACGAACAGCTAACATGGACCAATCAGCTGTTTTTGTATCAAAGGAGGGGCGT